TAAAAATTAATGCATCATAAGGAATATCAAATAATGGGTTAGTCTTACATTGAAAAATAGGAGAGGGGAAACGGAGAAAAGTGACCAAACTCTTAAACAGACATGGAGGATTCTTGTGGACCCAGTAGTTGCTTGAAGAGACATATTCAGATAGTTGGTGAAGCCTAGGAATTAAGGGGTGAACTGAGAGTTGAAAGGTCTTGAAAAAGAATCTATCCGAAAGATACTGCCTTCTTAAGTGAAAAGGAGGATCAACACACTCCACCTGAAGGGCATTATTAGGTGAGGACTTCATTGCACCCGTAATGATACGCAGGCTTTTATATTGAATTTTGTCTAACACGTTAAGTGATGCTTTACTACATGGCTCGAAAAGAAAGCGTCCATAATCGATGTGGCTACGAATTAGTGAGTTGTAAACTAATTTTTGAGAGAATGGATGAGCGCCCCACCATACGCCAGAAAGGAACCGAATAATGTTCAAATTTTTCTCACATTTTTGGGAGATATAATCAATGTGAGTAACAAATGATAATTTGGTGTTAAGAAAAACACCTAAAAATTTAACTGAATCACTTATGGGAATATGCTGGTTATCATAAGTTATTATAATATTTGGCACATTTTTACGCCGAGAGAAAACTACGACATTACTTTTGGAGGGGGAGAGGGATAATCCATGTTCAGTTAACCAATCTTGCAAATAGTACAAAGCGGAATTTAGACGTGAGCAAGCTGTAGAGATGTTATCTAGGGAAATGTACAAGGCTAGGTCATCTGCATACTGAAGAACATTACAAAATGAATTGACAGAAAGCTCTAGATCAAAAGTATATATATTATAGAGGAGAGGACTAAGGACAGAGCCCTGAGGTAGGCCTTTCCAGACAGTTCTTGATGGAAGGAGTGAGTTTTGAACATTTACTAAAATTGACCTGGAGGAAAGGTAGTTAAAAATAAAGTTGGCTGGTATGCTCAGCTGTAACATTTTCTGTCTGAGAACAGGAAGAACAACATTATCATATATATGCTGAAGAAACATCTAGAAATACCCCTACAAGGTATTGTTGCTTTGAATAGGCAATTCGGATATCTGTAACAAGCGTGCTTAGGCTATCCATTGTGCTCAAACCTTTTCGGAATCCAAATTGGCTCTTTGGTAGATAATTTTGGCTTTCCAAAAACCACTCCAGGCGATTTTTTATTAAATGCTCAAGAACTTTGGCAATTGTACAGGAGAGAGCGATGGGTCGAAATCCAGATGCATCATTACCAGCCTTACCAGGCTTAGGGACAGGAATAATGATTTGCGACTTCCATTCATCGGGTGGGATGCCAGTCATGAATATATTATTCAAAAATTTAAGTAAAATCAGTTTTGTTCTTTCACTACTATTAATTATAAAGGAATAGGGGATTCCGTCAATTCCTGGTGAAGAATCTTTAAGACCACTAAGAACACAGAAAAGTTCTTGTGGAGAAAATGGGGAATTAAATTTATCAGCCGGTTGCTGTGAGCGAGAATCAAAAAATAGACATTCATCATAGTTTGGGGCTGATGGTTGAGCAAGTTTATTCAAAAAGTCTCCAATCCAAACAGAATGATCATTAAAAGTAGGGTCTACACTAACCATTGCACATCGAAACCTGAGCCAGCCAGCTTGTTTCTTTTGGGATAACAATTTCATAGTCTCTGCTGCAGTTTTTTTATAAAAAATGTAATTATCTGTGGTCATTGAATGTGAGTATCTACGTTCAGCCTCTTTTCTCTGTGTGGGAGGGGAAGGAAATAGAAGAGAAGGGTACTTTCCTTGAAATAAAAATAGCACTGCCTGCATGACCATCATTTCTCTCATCTCTTAGGCATGAATACCCAGAGACTCGGAAATGGGATCCCGGCTTGAGCCAAGTTTCTTGGATGGCTAGAATAGAGGGATTAAATTTATTAATGAGATGAAGAAGTTCATGTTTTTTATTTCTAATGCTCCGACAGTTCCATTGTAGTATCGGAGGGAAGGTTATTAGTGAATGAAATCAGCTGAGTAAGTTTTTGTTTTAAATTAAGTGGAAGATCAACGTCACTGAAACGAGACAGCATACTAATCAACATGGAAATTAACAGTTCAAACAGATTATCATTTGGGGTTAAGGTATCCTTTCCAACCAAGGCACTGCCATTAGGAAGGGAGGAAGGAGGGATTGCAATAATTTCTTGATGGGCTGCCCTATCATACCCAGGACTAGAGGCAGGCTTATAGGGAGACCTAGGAGTAAGGACAGTTTCTCTGTATGAGTTGTGCTGTACTGGAATTGTAGTGTGATTTCTTATAGGTGTAGGACTTGAAGTTCCAATATGATAATTGACTGGTAGACTCTTAGCAGTATCAGCAAAAGTTTTCCGGACCTGGGAGAATCTAGCAGAAGCCTCAAGATAGGAGATATTCTCCTGAGACATTACTAATTTTATAGATTTTTGTCTGGACTGTTCAGGGCAAGATGGATCCTTTGCAGTATGAGGGCCTGAGCAGAACAGGCAAAGTGGTGACTTGGAGCATAAAATTCTCTGATGATTTGATGAGCAAACAAAACACCGGGGGGCAGATCTACATTGAGATGTTACATGTCCAAAACGGCAACATTTGAAACATTGTATAGTTGGTAAAACATAAGGTTCAATAGGCATTGAGGTATTATAGGAATAAATATGGAGTAGGAGTTTCTGTCCTAAGAAGGTCAGCACAACAGTTTGGGTGGGGATCCAGTTGGGAATGTTATTTTCATTTGTTGAGCGTCTATTCATTCTATGGTCTATATATTCTACGGGCTTTAATTATTGTTCCATGGCCATTTGGTACTGTTATTGAGGGAACAAAATCTTGTAAAGCCCATTCAACAGGGACTTGTCTTACTATTCTCATGCGAGTTACATTGTATGATGGGATGACAGCTTCATACTTAGCAGCAGAAAGAGCAGAGTGAGATATAAAATTGTTGGCATCAGCTACTGTTTTAAATTCCACTGAAATTCTGTTCCTACCAACCTTTTTAACTCCATCACAAACCACTTTCTTAATATTATTATGGTATAAGAAATGCCCAAACTGAATGGGTTTTAAAACTGCTCCATAGGTAACCTCTGTTAAAATTTTGCTAACATGTACTAAGAAGAGAGCTTCATCATCAGTAGAATAGGATGTTTTTTTGTCAACATAATTGGGATGAACATATGTAGATGGCATGGATGGGAGAGACTGGGATGGACCAGTAATAAGCCTCTTCTGAGGATGAATGGACACATTGTGAGTATACGAACGTTTACGATTAAAAGTATCAGTGCTATCTAAGGATACATGATTAGAAGAGGAAAAGGAATTTGGTCCAATATTAGGTGGATCGGGATCAGGAGGATCCTCCTCCATAGTGTTAATAGCTACTCACATACAAAAAACGGTACAATTTACCACACACTACCTAAAAACAAGACAAAACAACACGAATGATAGATTAAAATAAATCAACAGTACTTAAAAGTACGGAAAAAGCAAAAAAATTTACACAACGCTTGTATGTATCACTAAGCCTCGTACGCGAATCTTGATCGAAGGTCACTTACAGGTAAGTTACGATCAATTAATTATAAGTAAACTCTCCTATGAATAAAATGAACCACTAGTACAAAATTAAGAACATTCATTCTGAGGAATGTATATTAAAAATTCTTAATAAATCTAAAGTAATCTTTTTGCATACGCTCTTTTAACGTGATTATGTTGAAAAATATTTCAAAATTATCAATACCTTTGATATAAGGGCTAGACATTGGCTTTTCTAAGTGTACCCTTTTTTTTAAATTAAATTCTAGACATAAATGATGTTATATAAAAAATGATACATATTTAAAAGCACTCGTAATTAATTAATAACATTAATTTTAACTTATTCTCAAAAAGTGTGTGATTTATGGGCAACTAATTTATTTCGCACGCGATCATTCATAACTAACACGCACACTAGTTCGTTTCAAAAGTATACGACGCATTTATGAATGACTACCGCATTGTCAACAAGTTCTGTTTTTTAGGGAATAGAATTGCATTTTTTTTAATAAGTCTATTTTTATTTCAATAAACGATTATACTACTGAGTCTGGACCTCCTGTGTGAATTTGTTCACCTTTAAAATAGGCACCCTGTATAATATTTGCATGCACATTTGCGTCACGAGAAAACTGCTTTTAGAAATGCAGCTGCATACCGAGACAAATCAAAATAATGTACAGAGATATAGACTTTTTTGCATATTACTTTTGTTTTGTTAACGTGCGGGAAATGCGACCGACTAAAATCAATAAGTAATAATAAAGAAATAAAACTCCCCTCATCTTTTAATAACTGACGGTATTTCAAAAAAAGTAAAGTAAAGTAACAGCCTATACATGTCCCACTGTTGGGCAAAGGCCTCCTCTATACAGAGGGTATCAGGGCATAGTCCACCACGCGGCCCCACTGCGGATTGGCGGACTTCACATATCTTCGAAATATTTTTTTTTGTTATTATTTCGAAAATATGCAGGTTTCCTCACGATGTTTTTCCTTCACCGCGGAGCACGTGATAAGTCAGCACTTAAAGTTAAAAACTTCATTGGTGCCGGCACCGGGGATCGAACTCAGGTTGCTCGAGTTAAGGGAGAATTAAAGGCGAGCGCCCGGACACTGAGCTATCACGGCTCATACGGTTCGGCACACGAGCTATCACGGCTCGGTATTTCAATGACCAATCACAATATAATATGTTTTCACATAAACTGATTTTCTACCTGTATAATTTTTTTTGGGAATAAAGTATGGAATGATGCACTGAGACTGACTATTTAACTGACTATTTATTACATTTTTTTTGTTTCAGATTAAAATAGCCGCCATTGTTCTTCTTGCATATTTAATCGAAACCTCCTACGCCATGTCTTCAAATTGCACTCAGCGACCAGCTAAGACACTTTACATAGTTGAGAAAAACTCATATGTGGGATCTGATTCATATAATGAATATTGTTCAAATGGTGAATTTCGTTCATATGATGGGTCTGGATTATTACATGGGTCTGACTCATGGGATGGTTCTGGTTCTAGTGAATGGGCTGGTTTAAACGATGGATCTGGCTCATATGATGGATCTGGTTCTTTAGATGGATCTGGCTCATATGATGGATCTGGCCTATGCAATGGATCTGACTCTTGCGATGGTTCCGGTTCATATGATGGATCAGGCTTATTAGATGGATCTGACTCATTGGATGGTTCTGGTTCTAGTGGATGGGTTGGTTCATATGATGGATCTGGCGCATATGTTGGGTCTGGTTCTTTGGATGGATCTGGCTCATATGATGGATCTGGTTCTTTGGATGGATCTGGCTCATATGATGGATCTGGTTCTTTGGATGGATCTGGTTCATATGACGGATCTGGCCTATGTAATGGATCTGACTCTTGCGATGGTTCCGGTTCATATGATGGATCAGGCTTATTAGATGGATCTAACTCATTGGATGGTTCTGGTTCTAGTGGATGGGTTGGTTCATATGATGGATCTGGCGCATATGTTGGGTCTGGTTCATTGGATGGATCTGGCTCATATGATGGGTCTGTTTCATTGGATGGATCTAACTCATGGGATGGTTCTGGTTCTAGTGGATGGGTTGGTTCATATGATGGATCTGGCTCATATGATGGGTCTGGTTCATTGGATGGATTTGGCTTATATGATGGATCGGGTTCATATAAAGGATCTGATTCATATGAAGGATCTGGTTCTTATGATAAATTTGGTTCCTATAATGCATCTTATTTAAGAGATAACGGAATTCCAGACATTTTACATACAATAAAAAGTCAAATAGATTTCACCAAAATATTTAATTGTATATAAGAAGAGATGTTACGGAATTATACGGAAATGTTTCAATTTAAACGGATTTTATGTCAATGTATGAGTGAAAAAGTTTAATAAATAGAAATGTATCAAATAACGTATTTTACTATTTTCACCAATAATTGTGTCATATTACAGAGCGTGACGCAATATTAAAAGTGATTTGTAGATTCATCATCATCATCATTTAAGCCTGTTTGAGTCCATTGCTGAACATAGATAGCTGCCACTAGATAATAACCAATCTAACTTTTAAATTACACATAAACCTTGTGAGTAATAGATTGCGAAAAGTTATAGATGTTTTTAAGAAATTGAGATATGTTCTAATCTCATTTACTCAAACGTACTTATTTAGCCCTTTGTCAACCTTTAATAAATTACTGTATCACTATTTGGGGAGGTATACCTAAAACGAACTTGAATTGTTTAAAAGTTGCACAACTAACAATTCTAAAGATTTGTACTTTCAAACCATATCTGTATCCTACAAATCCTTTATACAATCACTGCGAGGTACTCCGTTTTATAACTATTTATTTTAACAACTATTTATTTTATCTGTTGTTTTAAAAAAACACCTGGAAGCTCCAACCGACCACATGAGATTGAGTAAAAGGGGAAAAGATATTATATATGATCAGAACCGGCAAAATCGGACATTTTTGCACAACGTTTTTACAAATTCATTAGTACTTATCTTTGTAAATATATAACAATTAAAACTTTGAACAAGTATGACTGTAAACAAACATTAACTAAATACCTAACCACTTAAGCACGCACACACACACACACGCACGTTCGGCCGGCCGGCCGACAAGATTATGAAATCTAACCTAATTAAAACTAAATAGGTAACTAAAAATTAACATAATATAACTAAAATACAAATATGCTTACTTAAAAAGTAAACTACTTATTTAAACAAAAAAAGACGTAAACTAGATAAAAAATACTGGCCAATCGCGGTCTGTGCAGCAAGCCGAGTGGCCAGGCTGTATCACGAGGCTGATTCGCTAGTCAAAGTACGAGCCAGCTCTGGGGTCACTAGAAAAGAGTAACCAGACGTGAACAGATATCTTTGTACACGTTACGTTATGTTATACGTTTGTATACGTTTCGCGTCTGATCCCCACAGTCCGAGTGTCTCCACGCCAAACGGCACAAATATATAGCCTTCGCGGAGGGCTATATATTTGCGGCGCTTCATACACTCCGCCGTCGATGCAGCAGTGCCTGCCTTGCGAGCAGGTCTCAAAACGTGCTACGGCGCTAACGTGTCAACACAAGTCGCATCCCAGACCAAAGTGCGCCTGTTTTTCCAGGGAATAAGCGTCATTCCGTCCGGCCTTTTGCCATCGTCACGGAATATACCGTTTGGCTCTAAAACGGCAGGTACTCTAGAACTTATTAAGGCCCGACGAATAACGTCATTAATTGCAGCATGGCGAGGAAAACAACCAGCACTGCGCTGGCACGCTAGGCCATGATGACCCAGACGGTTAACCTCTTTACCACAATGGCAGCGATATGTCTATTATATGTATGTCTATGATATCTATATATATGTACTAAAGGCAATGCATTAAACCAGTAGCCCGACTCTTCCTCCACACTCGCCAGAAGACGAGCCCGCTCTATAAAGCTTCCGCAGTTTTCAAGTAATTTTTCCTGTACTTGTATGCAGAGCGGCTCGTCCCAACGCCTCTGCGAAGCTAGATTTATGGGGTAATCTTGGTCCAAAGCAACTTTATCACGCCAAGCGTCCTTGGCCTCAGTCAAATACGACACCTCTTCACCAATTGATGCGCTAATTATATTGCTAACGAGGTTTAACGTATTATGGACTGATGACAAGAACGCCGGTAACGCTACGCTGGATAACTTTCGAATGCCTAGGCCACTGAGTCTGATGGGAAGGGTGGCCTGAATCCAGGAGTTATCATTTAAACAGCAATTTAGAATTTCGCTAACAGTTTTCCTAATCAGATCATGAAGACGATTTAAAAGAGGGATATGCATCCAAAAGGTAGAACAACGTAACACATATGTGAAATTTGGTACAAAAAGACAGAATTTTAATAGAGCATATGCCATATGTGGGTTAATTTCTTTTAGACATCTGGATGACTCATCAAATCTTAAAATCTGATCATTACCAAAATTTTGTAAGGAGTCCTTCAAGACAGGTGCACCTAGAAGGCGAAGTAACTCGCTGTTTACAATTTTTACATTAGGGGAATTTAGAAATGAGCTGATTTTTTTTTGAAAAGAGGTATATTGTTTTTGATAAAAAGTTCACATTTTGGAAAGTTAAGTTTAAGACCGATAGACTCGAATTTAGAAATAAGGCCATCTAAATAATTGAGGACTGTGGTCGCTTCGCCTCCAAGTGTCCCATCATCCAGATACCAAACTTTAATATTATAATTAAATAGAATTTTCGAAAGAGTTTAAAGTAGTCGGTTTTCCACTTATAGTCAACCAAGGTTTGAGCATCTGGGCACATTACCCGTAAATATCAGCTTCAAATGACGCAACGGTAAAATGAAATTTTTTTTTTAAGATAAAGTGCCGAAACTTTCAATTTCTACAAAGAATTCTGTAAAATAATTCAGATTAAAACTGTTGTACCAGTTTAGTTTAAATTTCAACAATTAAAATTTTAATTCTAATGGTAATTATAAAAGATGTTAGACTTAACGCAAGGCAGACTGTTTAATTGTTGCAGACCATGTCTGTTTTATATACTACAAACTTAAAAAGTTTGCTATACATGCCTTTTTGCAATATAACTCTACTTTTTTGAAATCTCAGAGAGGCACTTCTTTTTTATTTATTTTTTGTTTACAAGAAATGAAAAATCTTTATTTTAACCATACTTAGTTTATATAAAGCTTCTGAATCAAAATCACAGCCTATATTATTTTGAATCAAAATTATGATATAAGACTCCCCTGTAGATACAGAGAGTATAAGGGTATAGTCTGCCACGCGACCCCACTACGGATTGGCGAACTCCACATATCGAACGGACCAGTCCATTCGTGCAACAGCGAAGACTGATCTACCACATTTCTGTTCCTTAGCCAACGATGGTTCATCATTAATCACTAGCAATGCTATCACAAAATAACAAGGCCCCAATCGACCCATCCCTGAGAAAGTTTAATCCAGTTCTAAACTTAAAAAATAAGTGTTTTTGACACACTGTTTAAATAACCATGGACGGGTCATGTGGCAATTTTTGCCGTATGAATGGTCAGGTCCGTCCGGGTAAGTACCAATACCTCACAAAAAACTGTCGTGAAGAGGTGTGAACTTCGGCGTTTCGTCTGGTGAGTGAGGTAACCGGGACCCCCTTTTTTGAGAGCTGGGAAATTTCGATGGCCAGTGATAATCGCTTAAACTTAAGTAAACCATCAGCTCGCTTGTAATCTTCCTAAATAAAAAAAAAACATTTTTTTATCAATAAATTTCAGTTCAAATGCACGAATGTTGCATTTCGTTACATATTGTTAACTTTCGAGGTATATAAATCGTTTGCATCTAAATTTATACTACGTATCAAGATTGAATTAATTGATCAAATTTCTATTCAATTATTATTCCATAGCTGTAGGAAACCAATAATATAATCTAAATCAATAGTTGATTAGTAAGGTATTAACGACCCCTTAATATCGGCACCCATTACCGTCCGTTTCATTAAACTATTCTTTTCAATAATTTTGTCTAATTTTAATACAACACATTTAAATTAGACAAATAGTTGCTTTAGAGAAAATATAGATGTATTTGTATTGCAAATATTTATTACTTGCTTTGGTGTATAAACCAATGATTTAAAGAATTATTGCATATTTCGCCGTGGGAGTCCGGAGATAGCGCATATTTCATAGAGTCACGGTCCCGATTACGTAAGGTCACTTATTTCTTATTTAGCAGAACATATAATCTTAAAGTAGTCTAATGTATCTTATAACTATTTTGGTACCTTCTTAATACTTTCATAAACACAAATGATAACTAATTTTCATGAGCTACAGCTTTAATTTGCGTATAATTCAATATTAAAATGTGGCGGTAATACGAACAATAATCACAATTTTCTTCCTATTACCGACCTACGTTGCTGTTAGGTTTTTGACGAGTATTTTAATATCGATTTTTCTTGTTGTATTGCATCTATTAATAAGTAGTGTGCCATATTAATTTAATTAGTTAGTATGTGACGCTCTATTTGAGCTATTAGCGCCATATACAGGGAGGCTTTTCGAAAGGTGCCGAAATTTACACGGAGGTTCAGACTCGATGGTATAGTCGTTTCGTTTATTGAAATGAAAACAAACTTTTTTTTTAAAAAAATTGCCATTCAATTCCCTAAAAAACAGAACTTGTTGACAATTCGGTAGTCATTCATAAATACCTAAATTTTACTGTGCACACTTGTTTCCCATTCCCGATTTCGTTCTTATCCGTAACGATCGTGCAAAATCGGAAAAGGTAGGCTTCTGGTGAATAGAACAGGCTGTCAAAGACACTAGGGTGATTCTTGGAGTAGTGTATGGTCTTGCTTCTATCGACAGCCTATCGAAAAAATTTAAAATCAATTATTCTTCATTACATTTACACCATGTAAATATTGATTTACTAGTATTATTAAAAGTTGAGAAACACTGGCGTACAGTGTTTCTCAACTTTTAATGAAAAAAGTTAAGAAACACTGTACGCCAGTGTTTCTCAACTAACTCGCTGATACATTATTGTACTATTTAATTCCCTTTGCCAATGTAATCGTATACGACGAACATTTAATTGAAAACTATAAGTCACGTTATCTTATGCTCTTACTTATGGCTGCATTATCTCGCGTTATTTTTAACTTCTGGGCGTCGTAACTATAAGAACATTCCTGTGAATGTGGTTGGAAAAATAATTCTTGTGTGTGAAAAAAATTATCACCAATTTTAAGTATAGGAAATCAATTCAATGGAAAGGATATTAACGTGCTTAAACTTTGCTGTAAAAATTCAAAATAAATACAGGTTACATTGTTACACTTCAGTACAGCACGATTACTTCCGCTGAGACAATGGAGCGCAAAGTAAGAATTACAACGCACATTAAAATATTTCCCAATATTTTCTGAAGAATAGTTAATATGTAAATTTAATAAATTTTTAATATTTAATGCTTTTTTCAATAAAATAATATCTTATAACAATAGAAAAACAGCAAGTAGCTGACAGGGCTTATTTTCTTTTAGAAAATTCTTAATAAGTTACAAGAAACTTCTTACACACAGTTTATTATTCCGCCAAATATGACCATTATAGCGGAAATAAAATTAATCATTTTGTGATTGATGAAACAATTTGTTTGTTGGGATCATTTCGTTTGTTGATTAAATCTGTAATCTTTTTCGGCTAGATAGTAGGTAATTACCGCCGACCATGGACGTTTGTAAAATATATAGAACAATAGAAGTTGCGAAAGAGTTCAATGAATAGGCTCTCATTTCATATATTATTCTAAAAAAGTCCGTTACTAGTACAAGCGCGGATAACTGGTTCCTTAAAGAAGTAAAAGTCGTTGCAGGAGTTTAGTTAAACATGCTGTATAGTGTTTAACATATGAGTGTAAACGTTTAACGTCCTTTTGCTGCTTTAAATGAATAAAATTTATGTCGTTTAGAATGTGTATTTAGTAATCGTTGTAAAAAGAGCAAAAATCATTTCCATACATCCTTGGCCTCAGTGTGTTCTTGGACATTATTATAGGCCCTTGCCATTAGAGTAACTTTTACAAAATGTTTAAAATTGTTTATACTCAGTTGTTTGTGGATGTCACCTATTTTATTATAAACTTTAATGCATTTACCAAGAAATAGGATTATTGTGCTTGGGCAGCACTTGATAAATTAATTGTTTCAGATCGTCGTTTGCTTGTTTCTTTATTTACTTACTTGTGTTATTTTAACAAATTCAATGAGTACCCATAACAAGGAAAGAAGTTCAAAAGACAAAATGAATTCCTGTAATGAAACATTGGAAATCAAAAGTACAGAAAGCGAAACTACAACTACGAGTGAACTACCGGAAACCACAGTCACTGGTATAATAATCATAAACATTTATTTTTTTATTTTCATAAATTTCATAAATTCCTATCTTCATAAACTGCTGCTGAATACCGCACCGTTTTGAAAAAAATAACTTTAAGTTTCTCAGTATACATATCTTTTAAATGCATGAAAAATACAAATTTATATACATATTTCCGTTACTTTTCTAATAAAACATTACTTGCAGACCTGAAAGCGAAATGTAAGGAGAAATGCATGCAATGCAAAAGCAAGAAAGAAGATCACAGCCACAACCATTAAGTTGGTGATATATTTAAATGCTTCGTTTTGCTATAATTTGAAATGAAACAATCTTTTTTCTTTTTGCATATTTTATTAATGTTATAGACGTAAATCTTCTAAGCTATTATTAATTTCACACTGAATTTGTAAAGTAAATATGTATGTAAAGATACTTCATTGGAATTTCCATCTGATTTACCATTATTTAGCGTCAATAAATCACTCGAACAATACAACTCGCTAAGGTAAAGTAGCATTTTAGACTGAAATTATTTAAATGAAAAAATATGTCAATAAAAGGCTGCAGATTAACTAGCGTATCAAAATTTGTATTTATTTCTTAATTATTAAATTAACACATTATTATACAAAACTCGTTGTACAGAGTTCTTTGCGTTTCATTTTAAATTTTTCAAATCCTATATAGATAAGGTTCTTGGTTACGGGATCGACTCAAACGTTTATCTTCTAAAACATCATAGGATATTCCGACTTATTTATTCTGATCTACGCAGTCGGAGCTTGAATAAATCTGGAAGATCCGAACACAAGAAATTATTTCAGATTTTTCGATAATATTCAAAGTTTTAATCCCGTTTCAATATATATATATATATATATATATATATATATATATATATATATCTGTGGTAGTTCCCGTTGACCTGCAATCACGTAATTTGCCAAAAAGCAAGGTCTTTACAGCACACAAAGGAAAAATCCAAAAAATAAAAAAGTTGACAATAAAGGTAAATTTTTGTACTTACAAAAGGTTTTGTTTGCCCATATCTTTTTATCGTGGTAACTCAGGGACTTGATTTGTATAAATTTCTAATTACTAGGTCAACCCGTTCCTAAGGAAATCGGGGGAGATTATTTACCAATTTTATTATGGCGGTCACGGAACTCTCGGCGTACGAGTTCAACTCGCAATTAACCGGTTTTTTTTAAGAAACTTGAAATAAAATATACAATAAGTCTCCCTGTTGAAAAAAGCCCAAAAAACCCCAGCCACGGAGGATATTAATTAAGAAAGTTAAGTTATGTGACGATGAAGTCGTGGCGATCCGGCATGGTGGTGGCGCTTACCGAGAACTTATTAAAGTTATAAAAATTATACTGCACTATATTCGATGTCTATCCAAACCGTATGGCGTACATTCGTTGAAATTGGCGGTGTCCTCGGCTTGCATGACTTTTACACGTATTGACATGTGCGACTTCGGTCGTGTGGCGATTAACTTCACACGAAGTACTTACCCGTCACATCTTTATAATGGCCCTCGTCAATGCAGAAAGTTGGGGCAAATATCCCTTTATGGCCAACCGCTCCCCTGGGAGAAAAAGGTCAAATACTTAGGAGTCACTTTCGACTCGCGTATGTCATTTACTACGCACATTAATTATTATATACCATTACAAGTATTGTAGTAGTTTTATTACAAGTATTACAATAATGTTTAATATAAAGCTCGAACCCATTTCACACTTATTATTCGTTATACTATCACTGATTAATACGTTTCTTATTATTCTGATGCTACAATAGACTGCAAAAGCAGACTTACCTATGTTAAAATGATGTTGCTGTGATTGTCATGAACAAATAACATAAACAGAAGATACTACGGACAAGGATAATACATTTTTCTCATACATAAGCTAATTGAAAAGATTTATAAACTTATTTGTCTTCAATCCTTACTTTAATTTATAGAATGAAAAAAATAAATAACTACCCAACAAACCCAGGTCACGCACCGTTTTGCCATAAAAATGCTTTCTG